CCCCAAAACCCCAAAACCCCAAAACCCCAAAACCCCAAAACCCCTTGGTCCAAAAAATTGACCACTAACTTCAAAACCCTCTCATCCCTCAATCCACTACAAAATGGACCAAACTCTCCACTGCCAAAAATCCGGCTGCCCCCTGACCGCCTACCACTTCGATCCTTCCACTGCCCAATACCTCTGCTACGTACATTCTGAAGAAGGACAAGGCAAGCAGGTCACAACTGAGTTTTAAAGAGATCAGTGAAGACATTTGGGTGGTCAAAGCGTGTATTAGGAGTGTACTAGTGGGCTTGGAGGAGGGAGAAAGTGGGGCAGGGGTGAAGAAGTTGGTGAATAAGGTGAGGAAGAGGATAACAGAGTGTGAAGAGAGGCTGAAGTTTAGAAGAGAGGAACAGAAAAAGATGGATTATGGGGAGGTGAGGAAGCAGGTTTGGGAGGTTTTGGAGGGTCTTAAACAGAATGAGGTGTTTAAATAACTATTGAGTGAATAATCATATAGTTATGATGAGAGAATATGTTAAAAATAATGGTCTTAAGAAGAGGAATACGGATGATATAGAAATATTCCCAAGAGTAGATCATCGATTGACAGCTGGTTTTCAAGAAATGCAGAATAATTTCGAACTTATGAGCATTCATAACAAGAAGATAAAAGAGAGACAGAAAAGGAATGAGAAGTTTAAGCAAGTAATGGTATCTTTTGCTGATCCATCAACTATTCGAGGATTTAATTGCCTTTATGAAGCTATGACAGATAAGAAGATTTCAATAGAAGATTCAGAAGATTTAGTGCTAGATTTCAAAAATCAATTAGATATTGAATTCATGAAATCAATCCGTGATTTCAAAATTCCAGATGTCTATGAATTGGAACTTAGAAATATTCCTGAAGACATGAGCACATTCAGAGATTTTATTTATACATCTTTTCCAGATAAAGTAGGGAGATTTGACTTTGACTGTAACACCTCCAAGAAAGATTGAGATCAAATCTTGGATTTGATCTCTCATGTTAGCCCCAAAGTTACGTCTGAGCTATATTTGTACAGTTGAGAGCTATCTCAGTACCAGCTGAGGAGATTCTTAGCTGCTACAAGGCAGAACCAAGCTTCAGTAGGCCTACCAATGTGTAAGATTGATCTTGACTCTGTTCCCGATTTCGGAAATTCTCTTAATGGATCAAAAATCGAGGAGATAAGTCTCTCATTCTGAGGAGGTCCTGATTATTCTGACTGGAAAAGACATCCTCATAGATTCGAGAACTTAATCCAAGGGTTGTCTCAGAGTGATGACTTTGTAAGAAATCTACAACATCTTAACCTAAATGGATGAGGTATTCAGCAAGAAGATGCACTCCAAGTCCTGGAACAGTACAGACTTAGCCATGTCATCTTGATCGATACTGAAGAATAATAATATAATTATCCAAATTATTTGTATAAAATGGGGTTTTGGGGTTTTGGGGTTTTGGGG